AGGCTCGTAAAAACTGTGCTTTACTCATAATTTGCAAGACGAAAGAAGAAATTCTTAAAGGCAAGGAACATCTTTCTCTCAACAAGGAAGAGTCGGAAGACAATACACCACGTCCTTAAAGCAGGCAACCCTAAATACTCGCTTTCTCTACAGTGATTTTTGGTGAAAATACTATACAGTCAGTTTAAAAAGATACACAAGATACATACATCTCTATAGCATACACCCTAGAAAGAAAATTAGTATCACGCAGCACAGAGAGGAACCCTCTGAAAGTATGTTGTAAGCAGCACCTGCCACGTTATATTTTAATGCAAGTACTGAGGGACTCTAAGGTGAAGACCTCAATGCAACCTTGTAACTCAAAGTAAGCACACAAAAAAGAAAAGATGGTAGTTTTATGAATCCTGTATCAAATAGATTTATTCACCTGCGTACTACCATGTGAAAAACAACATCCTGTTGAGCACTGGACGCTCTCAGTATCCCAAATCTCTTCACATTTTCTCTGTTTCCTCCTCGACACTCTCAATCAAGATCCTCTCACTGTGTTAGCGAGTCAACTGCGCAGTGCCATAAACTCCCCATTATCCCAGCCATCTCTGGAGTCGCCAAAGCACAGCTCAGGTAATGAATAGGATGCTGAAAGTTCTGAATGGTAACAGTAAAATACAACCTGCCGTCAAACCCAGATATTTCAACTTGATACTTTTGCCAGAGTAAAGCCTTTTCGTAAATAACAAGTGTTTGTTTTCAAATAAAGCCGCTTCAAGCTGCTTCTGGAAGCACAGTAAACAGTAAAAATAACGCAACAACAATTTCCATTTGGATTGCAAAACCCGACGAAACAAAACAAAACCAGCACACGTCAAACTCAGAGTTTTCCTACCTGGAACAGGTAAGGACCAGCTCTCAAAAGCCACTTGGGGATAGTTCAGACTGGTAATCCCGTTCATGGCTAGATGAGACACCAGCACGAACGAGAAAACAGAACAAGCAGTCTACCCCGTTCCTTCTCTTCTTTTATTGGCAAAGCTTACAGAAGCGGGTAAGACCAGGAAAGCGAGCCGAGGACCCCGACTAACCCAAAAACACTGCCAGAGAGAAACACGTTTAAAAGAGACTTACTGCTTGCCACGTGACTTGGTGAGGTATGCTGCCCATTGGGTGTACTTGAGGTGAGGTCAATAGCCATGCTGGAGTGCTCCCTTTCGGGTGAAAGCTCATTGTCACCTGCTTTCACAAAATAAGTCGCCCGTAAGTTTCCATCCCAGCAAAGCAACCCGATGATTAACAACTATGCCTTGCCAGCTCCCTGCACCCCTGTTTGCCTTCCCTTTGCTAGGGGAGCCTTCCAAAGCCTGTGAACACTGGATTCTCAGTGGCCAGAAAGAAATATTTGACGGATTGATTCTAAGAGCTCCCTCAAACCTCCCATCACCAGTCTTTCGCAGACAGCCTTAACAAAAATCCTGGTCCAACTGCTTTGTTTCCTCAGAAATTAGTACTACTTCTCCATTTGCAAACACTGAGGATAGCAGAAGACTGAATTCCTACTTTGCAGGACAGACCTTCCCCCCCTGGAGCCTTTGGTCAGCTGACAGTTAAATAATGCTCTCAAAAATAAGACATTTTGCCCTAACACAGAAAGCAGGAGAAACGCACAGCAAAAAGCAAGGAAAGTTGCTGGTTCTGAAAATAAGTGCTCTCTCTCACAAAGTTCATTCATCCTCAGCAAATACTTGAACTGCGAGGTGCTCACTCACGTACCCATACCCACACATCTTTCAGTCACACACAAAGACTATGTTTAAATGCCATTAATTCAGTGGCATCTGACAGCAAAGACCATACAGAAGGAAGCTAAAGTTTCAGGTGCCCGCATTACAGAAAGATAGCGGGGAAAGAAGAAAGTGCTATAGAATAATCAAATAAAACGACTACTTACATGTTATATATCCATCAGCAGCCTCTGCTTCCATAGTCAAAGTGCAGTGCTGCAAGGCAGAAAAGTACACCCTCAAAGACACCTGTCAGTATCAACCATTAAACGATTAAACTTACTTAGAGCCCTGAGTAGTTATACCCATTTTGCTGCTGTTGCAACCATTGCCTAGAGAAACACAAGCGTAGTGCATGCGCTCGCTTGCAAATCACCGAGCCCTTCCTGCAAATCATCTGAGAAATCCTGCTGACCCTTGGGCAGGCTGCGCTGGGATCTTCTCGCCATTTTTACCTGATTTTAGCTTCCCCACTCCGAGTTTCCACTTGTCTCTTTGAAGCAGGGATTGTAACGCTTTACGAATTATCAGCTCTCTCAGCCAGAACAGACCTGCAGGAGTTGGCACTATTAACAATCGCTCTTTTCTCACCTACTCCAGGAGACTCGGCTCTGCCCTAACCAAAACAAACCCCTCGGTGCCCCTTACAGACTGCTGCCACCAGCCCTCGCCTCACACCAGCCCCTCACAGCAGCACACACACCTGTACACACACCTGTTCCTCCTCACCTCGCTGATCTGCCCCAACACGGGGCCCAACACCGCACTCAATGCTCCCAGGCCATGCATTTTGTGGCATGAAGCAATCTTAAAGTTTCTGGAAGCGCTTTGCTGACACAGAACAAGCTATTACTTTCCAGAAACCCAAGTAACTGTATAGAATGACACCCCCTAGCTATCATTTGATATATATTGAGGGGAAAAAAAAAAAAAAAAAAAGAAAAAAAAAAAAAGGAGACAGAGAGGGATCAATAATCTTAACTATGTTCTTTTAACTGGAAAAGTTAAGAAACCAACATGACCAGAGGAGAATTTTATTTCCTCTCTCCCTCCCCGGCCTCTTTTTTGCCTTTAGTTTCAAAACTCTCACTGCACCAGGCAGCTAAATTATTCACAATGAGCCATTTCTGTATTGATCGCCAAGTATATTTAGCCCTGGCTCCTGGAATTTCTCCATTACTTACTGGAAAACAGGCAGCTTCACTTCTTGTCTCCAAAACCACTTCCCTCCCCCTCCTTCAACTCGCTTTCCTCCCGCCTTTCCCCCAATAAATAAATACTTTTCTCTGTGTTCTTCTTTGGTATAAAGCAGATCAAATTCCCAAGGCATTCAGTACATAACACTTAAATTTCAACCTGCCTGGCTGCTACCAAACTCTCCACAGTGACTGATTTTTCCACATGACTTTAAAAGCAACAACAACAACAAAAAAAAAACCGCACACACAAAAAATCCCTAAAAAGTTTCCAAAGCGGGCAAGCTGCTTCCTCAAGCCCTCCCAAATTACCTTCTCTTCCCCCTAGTCCAGGTAGGCAGGCACACACTGAGTAAAGAGAGAGGCATCAGAAGCAACAGGGAAAGAGCACCCCAGCCAATGGAGTGAAGGAAAGAAACGGGAGGAAGGGAGGAGGAAGACAAAAAAAAAAAAAAAAAAAAAAAAAAAAAATTAAAAAGGCACAGAACCATCCGTAACCTAAATTAAAGCACCGTTTGGGGTGGGGTTTTCTTTTCTTTTTTTTTTTTTTTGTTTGTTTGGCTTTTTTTATTATTATTATTTCTTAAAAGTGGGGAAAGGGGAAAGAAAGAAAAGTTTGCTCCCCGTTTTCAGGCTGTGATGGGGAATCCCGGCGGTTCGGCCTTTCAGCCGGGGAGGGGGCAGAAAGGAGAGACGCCGCAGACACAGAGAGGTGGGGAAAGTTGGAAGAAAGAGAAGAGGGGAGGTGGGGGCCAGGCGGCCGCCCCGGCACTTACAGGTGGGGCATGCGGAGCCGGGCAGCACGGGATGAGCCGGCGGGAGAGCCGCTCAGGAATGGCACATACTTTCAAGGAAGATGAAGAACAAAAAGGGAGAGAGGGAGGGAGGAAGAGAGAGAGAGAGAGAGAGAGAGAGAGGGAGGGAGGAAGGGAGGGAGGTCAGCCGGTGCTACAGCAATGCGATTAACCAGCAGAGAGAGAGAGAGAGAGAGAGAAAAACTTGATCCACCGGTTCCTTCCGAATCGGCACGGCAACCAGAGCGGGGGGGCTCGGGCGGCAGCGCACCGCCGGGCGGGCAGCCTAGGCCAACTTCCCGGAGCCGTTCCGGCACCCCCTCCTCCCCCCCCCGCGACCTGTCAAAGTAATTCAAGTCCTGCCTCGCCGCTTTCATCTATTCCCTTTAGGACCCTTTCTCCCCACGCACACCTCTCCCGTTTTCCCCCTCCCCCCGTTCCTTCCCTCGGTCCCCCGACGCACGGCCGCCGCGCCTCAGGCCGCAGGTGGCGGCGGCAGGGCCGAGTAACGGGGAGCGGAGCGAGAGCTGCCCGGAGAGCCGAGGGCCGGGGGGGGGTCGGGAGGGGGGGCGGCTCCTGACGCGGCGTCCCCGAGGGGAAGCAGCAACAAGTCGGGCCGCGCTCGGCTCGGGGCCCCCCGTGCTCCCGGGGGAAGGCGAGGGGAGAGAGGGAGGGACGGCACGGGGAGGGGGCAGATTTACCTCAGCCGCGCAGGCAGTGGATCACTTCCATGCCCCTTTTGTTTGTGTTTTTATTAGTGCCGCCGCCCCGCGCCCGTGCGCGGCCGCCTATGGAAACTGAGGCAGCGGCGCGGTCGCTAAGGGTAATCCTGCCGGCACTTCCTCCATCTTCGGAGAGCAGGGTTAGCCTGGGACAGCTGGTCAAACCCCGAGAAACCGATCCGCCCGCCGCCTTCACACACACACACGAGCACCGCGCACTCACTCACTCCCTCACACACACACACGCACACACACATACGCGCACATACACTGAGGCGCACGCAAGCGCGCACCCGCCCGCAGGCGCGTGCCCCCCCCCATCGCTCTCCGCGCGCACGCGCGCGCACGCACACACCGAGCGGGCGCGCGCCGCCGCCCCGCGCGCCTCACCCGGGAGGAATGGATGGAAGGAGGAGGGGGGGCACGCGAGGGGAGGGGGCCGCGCGGCGGGGCCGCTCAGCACGCTCGGCAATCGATTAGAGGACAAGTGCCGCCTCGCCTCACGCGGACACACGCATACACACACACAGACACACACACACACACGGTCACACACACAATCACACACGCGCGCGCACCGCCCGCTGAGGGCACCGGGCGGCGGAGGGCGAAGTTGGGCGTTCGGAGTGAACGTGAGGTAATTTCTGTTTTTTTGGTTGGCTTTTTTTTTTTTTTTTTTTTTTTTTTTTCCTCCAGGCTTTGAGCTCAGGAGGGAAAACCCGGATTAAAACGAAAGCTCCTCCGTGGCGCTTTCCCCATCTCCCGCGCACGGTGTGTGGTGGAGAAAGGGCGGGAGCCGCGGTGCTTCCCTGAGGACAATCAGCTGACAGCCCGCTGCCCACACGGCACCAGAGCCGACGCGTGCCAGGGCTGGGGCCGGGTTGGCTGTCAGGAAACGTTTCTTCCCAGAAAGACCAGCGATGCTGGTGGGCACCTGCGTGAGGAAACGCTAGCGCAGGTGATGAAGCGGTGCGAACTGACGGAGGTAGGCACACAGACGGAGGGCCAGTGGAGTGATCCTTTACCCACGCCGGTTGCCAGAGAGCTTTCAGGATGCGCCGACTGGCGCTCCTGCGCCGTGCCTACCCGCGCTCCTTGTGGCAGGCTGTAGGTGCCTGAGCCAAGCTCATAACTCCCTCACCGGCGCTACAAATTTTAGCCAATTAGTCATTACACCACATCTGAGAAGCGGGTTAGTTTAACTCTTCTCATTTTGCATAGGCAGAAGGGTTAGGGGACTGGCCCAAGGCCATGAAGAGCAGTGCTCAGAACTGAGCCTAGAAAGCAGACTTCTTGTTTCCCACGCCTACGTTTCAGCAACTAGACTTGGCTTGCCTACCTCAGAAAATAGACTGGCATAGCTATAGCTGTGTAATTACACCGTTACCGTTATAACTCTCCTTGTGGACGTTCTCCTCCAGATGGAAAGTGACTTCCCAAAGGCTGTCCAAATGAATTCACCGAACAGCAAACACTTCATGTTTCTGCACTTTTTTTTTTTTTTTTTTTTTTTTTTTGTCACCGTGGGGTCAAAATTCCCAAGATGCAGGTCTGGGCGGCTTTCGATAGCTCTTACAAGGCATTGGAAAGCATGGGTAAATGTAAAAGGTGTCGCTGAAATGCTGGAAGTTTTGTCGTCAAGATTTTTATGACGCTTTTTATCAAAATGTTGAAAGCTGAAAGCTTCCAGCTGGCTCTCCTTACAGGTAATAATTTAATAACTAACAGCTTTTCTCCCAAAGCTGTTGGAACCGGCTTGAGTCATGGAAACTGATGGGAAAAACCAGACCCGTCCTCTGCAGTAATTATTTCTGGTTTTAATCCCGCTGCTCCGTAAGCTTTCAAAACCAAATGAAGCTGTGAAAACAGGCAAGAGTGACCAAGGGAAAAGCAGGGGACAGACACTAACCTGAAAGGGTTCACCCTTAAAAATTAATTTGTTAAGTGGAAAGACTGCAGGGATGAGAGCATCTCTACTAGAGCAACATGGGCATAGGGTGAGTCACTGGTTTTATTGCAAAATTCAGCTCTGCCACAGCTCAGGGGCAGCAGGGAGAGCTCCAGTGATTTCCATCAACCATGCAACTGCCCCCAGATTATACTCTCTGGAGCAGCTGTGGCAACCTTTAGGATCAAGAGGTGGTTTAGTGATCAGGACACCAGCGTTCACATCCAACCATGGTCAGAGGTCCTCTGCGTGGTTTCAACCAAGTCATTATTCCTCTGTTTCACTTCTGTTTTTAAATTGCAGCAAATAGACGAGAGGTTTTTCTTCAGCTGAGCAATAGCCTGAAAGCAGCTCTCAGCTTTGCAGCAGACTTCTGCCACACCGTAGAAGCCACCTGGACAAATCTTTTAGAGAGATATATCTGGAACTCCTTTCCCCTCTGTTTCCATCCATGAGATCTAAGCAGCCCTCACACAGCCATGCCTGCTGTAGACAGTGCTCTGCCACAACAGCCCAGCTGCCCAGGAGACAGCCACCCAGTCCTGAGACTCGTCGTGTGTCCCCAGGGTCTCATGGGCCTCAGTTCTCCCTCGCTGTGCTGGAGGCAACAGAGCTGCCAGGGAGGCGGGGAGGAGAAATTAATGCCTTATTGCTCGTCAGTAACATGCTTCAATAGGTCTGTGATGGGGTCAGCCTGTTTTCAGCAGAGTATTTAACTATATATGCATTTAACTTGTGTGTGTATGCATTCGCACACGTTACTATTCAATACAGCCAGTTTTACGTAAATTCTGTTTTAAATTATCTGGTTCTCATTATTTTGTGTGCTCTTATGAGGTCAAAGCATTCTAGGAGTTAGCTCCCTAAAATCTTGTGTTAGGTATCCACATAAATAATAGCTTACCGCAGCAAAAGCTCCAGGTTTATTTAGATTTAGGAAATTAAAGCAGGCATATCTACCAGACTGCTGCCTTGGACAGCTATGAACACCACTGAGCGATGGACCTCCGGGTCAGCTTTCATGCCTTTAGACTGAACCCTCTCTTTTCTAACCAAGAAGGGGTACTTTGACAACAAATTGGATCGAATCCCAATATACTTTGAGCAGGACAAACGTAGACCTTTCTTTACTTAACTGTGTCGGGCAATCTACAACCATATAAGCTCTAATCTATTCAGTATTCCATCTCCTCCTCTTTACTACAAAAAGGCACTGTTTTATGCTTATATGCACCAATAAAGAGACCTATAAAGAAAATAATGAACATCCTTGAATATTTTCAGGCCATACCCTATTAATTTTAAAAGCGACTCAACATACTGCACCCCTTGTATTTCAGCAAGATAAAAGCCTATAGATTAATTCCTATTAAAACAGTTGGTATTTTCAGGACATGCAGATGTAATTTATGGAGAGGCACAATGCTCATAATAGCTCAAAGGCCACAGAAACTGTAGATCTGTGTCTGTTACTGTAGCTGTACAGGCATTCATTGTACAGAGAGCGGTTGAAAAGACGGAGTATGTAATCTGAATACTAAATTTGTGAATAGTTTCTCACTTGGGCTGGTTAGGCTTTTCAAGAGCAGCGGATGCTTTGTGGGGGACTTTGTAAGACATTCTGCTAACGCATCACGTGGTTGCTGTATTTTCTTCTCTTATCGTTGCTGTTAGAGCTTTATTCATAATGCACAGCATTTGATTCTTAGAAGGGCAGGAGCTCCTGCTCTGTACTCTCCACCTGAATTCAGTGTGCTCTGTGTGAGACAATTTCCACAACAAATCCTGCTTCTTTCTATCAGGTGAGCAACTTGAGGTATATATACACCAAAGGTTACAAGAGATCAAGATTCCTCCCCTCCCCAAGTGCTCCAGTTGCTGCATTCACGTTGCTTGGAAAATAGCATCGTATTTTATGTATTATTATCAACAATAAAAGTGTACAGGTTTTCTATTTTATTATGGAGATATAAATGTATATGGATGCATCACTTATGAGGTAGGGAGATTCTGAAGCGTCCTAACAACTTCTTAATTATGACACGAGCTACTGAGTGTGGATATTTGAGGCTGGGTTCATCTCTATTCTTTGCACAGCCCCCAGCACAATGAGGATTTATTCGTGACCTGGCATCCCACTTAGTACTTCACCAAAATTAAGAGTCCAGCTTTACTTTGCTTATCACCAGAAATCTCAATACCAGCAGAACTGAATACATCAAGGTTGAACAGGGAACAGCACAGTAGTGTATACTTCAGAAGTATGGTGAACCATTTACTGTACTGAAGGATGGGGGCACTTAGGCAGTTGCGGCTCAAGCTGAAAGTTGGTAAAACTCACAGGTGCTGGTTTGGTTTAGCACTGCAGAGGACCAGGGAACATCCAATGACAAATGACCATAAACATGGCTTGGCAACATTTAAACATTTGGTGGGAATGGAGTCCTCCTTACGTTTCTCTTTGACAGGATTAAGATGAATCCCAGAAGGTCAAGTGCCTCCAGTTAGGTTTGAAGGGGCTTCTATGGAACAGAAGACATTTATAAACACCTTCCTTGATGCTACCAAATTAGGCTGCAAAGAGCATGGGAAAAGGCCTTGTAGGGCTCAGCCTGCTATACTATAGCTACATTTGTAGTTCTCATTCTGTCTGAAAGACAGAAGAGATATGGCCACCCAATGCTTACATATCTGAGCTTGTAAGGAGTTGTTCTCAATAACTTGGCAAAGGTTTGAGGGATAAGAACATGTTCTCGAATGCAACCTATGTCTCAAAGGGCAGCCTTGCACCAGTGGCCCCTTGGAGTCCAGGAGCTCCAGGAAAACGCCGAGCCAGCAGGGCACAGACCTCATCAGCCAGGGCTCACCGCACAACCCCTGAAAGTCAGCACAGGTTTACTGGGATGTACTTCATACCACTAGTTCTTGGTCCTTCACCACTTTTCCAGCATCGTGCTGGTGCTTTTAGGAAGCAGAGGAGAGGTTGTGGGGCATCTTCCAGGCCACACCAACTCCTGAATGTGTGGACGTGAATGTACGTCAGTCCCCTCTGCCCCGTTCACATTTAATCAACGCTGCTCTGATCACTGCAGAAACAGTATGTTGTCAGAGTCTCATGCATGAATAATGAAGCCAGAGCATAAAATTGTCTGAAAAAACAGAAACGCCCAGCTCTCTGCCTCCTGAAGAGGCACAGTTGAGCCAAAGCCTTACACCGTCTCAGAGGTGAAGCATAGCCTGGAGTCTTGTCGTGAGCTTGGATCACTGCTTTTAGTTACCTGTTGTGGAGAAGGATGTTCATCTCCCCCTCCATTTACAACAGCAATAGGCACTTCTTTGGCCTCATATTTCCAGGCTGCTTCTGAAGTCCATGGAAAAAGATTGATCCATCCAGGTTGCAACTCCAAGCACCGACATTAAATCCCGCAGTGGGGCGTTTCCTTCCCCAGTGACTACAGAAGGAGGCTGGAGCAATGAGCCGGGCTAAATTACACTTAAAATGGGTGAATCTCCTTGTCTGTACTTCAAGTTCATCACCTAGAAAATGATAACATTTTGTCTCCTCTGTCAACTCTGCTAAAAATGAGGCATGTCTCAGGAGAAGGGCAGGGACTTGGCTACGGCTGGAGGCCGTGCAAGTGGATAGTTGAGAGTATTCCAAAAACAGGGGTTTTGTGTGCCTCCTTTGT